TTTCTGGGATGTCAGGAACTGGTGGCCAGACTCCACAAGGGTAGTAATGCTGTAGATATGTTGATGGTGCTGTCCCTGGAGATCCCCTCCCTCTGTATGTACTCAGCTCCAAAACAGAGGAACAGGACTTGCAGCAGCCTTGCTTTCCTGCCCACCTTTGCAGGGCCATCCCTCTCTCTTCTCAGTTCCAGAAGGGGATGGTGGTGTCCCTGACTTGCAAAAATGGTACACAGGCATACTTTCCCAATCCCCACAGTTCACCTTGATGGCAGAGCCTTCCCCAACTTTCCAGTTGAATTTCATTTCACTCTCCAAGTGATTTCCAAGAAGTGAGAAAAATCTTTCTTAAAAAAAAAAAAAACTTAGCAAATGTAATGGGTTTTGATATTACCTCTCTAAGTGAGATTATTTTCTTCATTTTTCATATCTATTTCCAAGCATGTCTATTTCCTGCTGTATTTCTGTGTATGTCTAAATGATGGCTAGTCTTTTGCCCCATTGCTCTGGTTTGTGGTAGATGGGAATAAACATAGACTTTGGTGCCAGGCTGCTTGTTTTGCTTTGGGGCAAATTAACAGCCTGTGTAGGCCTCATTCATTGAAATGGAGTAATGATCCTTATCTTGCAGAGTTACTGTGTTTCAAAGGTAATATTTGAAAGTGCAGGTCCATGCTTAACACACCACTCCCCCTCTTTTCTTATTTTCCTTACCAAGGGTCAAGTGAATATGTTTTTCAGTATTTCTTACATCTTACATCTATTTTTCTTTTCTTAAAAGTATAGGAGGGAAAAGTTCAGGACAGAACAGCTGTCTTGGCGGGGGGTGGAGTGCAAAAGAACTTTTTTCTTCTGGTCACTCCTATGTCCCACAACATCCAATTCCTTGTTTTCCATTTGTTATCACCTTGATTTTCACTCCTTTTGAGTGACTAAACCTGTTAATAAAGAGATTCTCTCACTTAATGTTCATAATTAAATTTTGCTTATAAAAAGAATGGCAGTTCCTTAAGTTTCTAATAATTACTTGTTAAAACCAGTTAGAATATATAACTTAGTAACTTAAATTCACAGCACAATAAGTTAGGTGTGGTCCTTTACTAGTATCACATGACCAATTCTAGCTCTAGTTTAATTAGAAATACTTCCTTTATATCTATTTTATTGCACACAGTATTCTGATTCTTTGCATTTGCAAAAGT